GGATGGCAGAAACTGTTTTCATTCATTTCATTATTTAAGCACAATTTAATTTTTGAACTATGTGCCTATCTTACTCTGATTTTTAAAAATGCAGGCTGAGCGCTGTGGCTCATACCTGTAATCCCAGCCCTTTGGGAGGCTGAGATGGGTGGATCACCTGAGGTCAGGAGTTCGAGACCAGCCTGGCCAACATGGAGAAACCCCATCTCTACTAAAAATACAAAAATTAGCCAGCCTATGGTGGTAGGCGCTTGTAATCCCAGCTACTAGAGAGGCTGAGGCAGGAAAATCACTTGAACCCGGGAGGTGGAGGTTGTCATGAGCTGAGATCATGACACTGCTCTCCAGCTTGGGCGACAGGAGGGAGATTATGTCTTAAAACAGTAATAACAACAAAAAAAGCAGTGTAATTAAGAAGAAAACCAGCTGAAACACTCTATAATAATTGCCAGATAAAAGAGGAGATGAGTGGAATATTCCTGGGGAGTAAGCTGAGCGTGGAAGCTGTGCTCTAGCCCACAACTAGCTGTGGGAGCAAAGGGAGAAACAGGGACGCATGATGGTGTGCTCGTGTGTGCACACACACCAGGAGGAGGGAGCTCCGCACCACTTCCTTTCGGGCTCATTGCCCTCAGGGTGCATTCAGCCTCCTGGAGGTGATATAGTGGTGGATGCTTTCAGGACCTGTTAGCTCTGATTGCTGCACTCCAGGATGATACCTGGAGGGAAGAAGTTCACTGGAACCAGCTTGGGTCTCGGAAAAAGCCAGGCTTGGGTGAGGAGTGATGGGGAATGGGGCAATGAGTCACAGGAAGGTGTTGACACAGTCACTCAAGTTTGTTTAGTTGCCATTCACTCTTTCTCCCTCCATATTACATCACCTGTCCCCCATCTGCCCACCAGTCTGGTCTAAAGTCAAAGCATAGGATGACGGGTCTTGTCCAGTTCAGCTCAGGGAAATGCAGAGAAAGTCCTACCTTACTACTTTGAGGAAGCAGAGCATTAGTTTGTCTGAGTGCGTTGAGGAAGACAGCAGAGGGCAATTGACCTTGATTCATTCCTTACTATTTGACCTTAATTCAGTCCTTACTATGTGCCAGGCATGAAATGTACATTTCTTATTCCAGCCACCTTAGGTGAGTAAACTAGCATCTGCCTTTCTTAGATGAGATTTTTTTTTTCCCTTTTGGTGGAGAATGGGGTCTGGCTATGTTGCCAAGGCTGCTCTCGAATTCCTGGGCTCAAGTTATTCTCTCACTTCTGCCTTCCGAAATATTGGGATTACATACATGAGCCACTGCGCCTGGCCTCAGATGAAGAAACTGTTATAAAGCTAATAAGAAACGGAGGGGTTTTGTGCCTGTCTGCATAACCTCAAAGCCCTCCAGACTGAGAAACAGATGTAGAAACAGCACAGGGACAAATATATAAGAAGTCAGGGAGAGAATAAGGCCGGGCGTGGCAGCTCATGCCTGTAATCCTAGCACTTGGAGAGGCCAAGGCAAGGGGACTGCTTGAGCCCAGGTGTTCAAGATCAGCCTGGGCAACATAGTGAGACTCTGTCTCTACAAAAAAAAAAAAAAAAGAGAGAGAATTGGCTTGAAGTGTGGCAATATCACTATCCTAATGAGATACAGAACGGAACAGAAGTTGCTTTTATTCCAGACTCATCTCTGCCCTTTGTCAGGAATCTAGGACCTTCTGCCTCTCTCCACACTGCCCTCGTCAGTCTAAGATTAACTAAGTTTGCCCTTTTATACTTTAGACTGCATGTGTAAGCATCTACGAGACAGAGGGGACTGTGCCCAGATTTTGTGGCACCAGTTTCCTGAGGGCTCCCAGCCTGGCTTGTCAGAGCCCAGCCCTCTTTGCCCTTTAAAACAGTCCCAGTGGCGGTGGCTGGCCTAGTCATCCACAACCCTCGGGCTTTTTGGAGCAAACAACGTGTTCCTTTAGAGTTGGAGGCAAAGAAACTGAACCTATGAGTGTGTGATTCCAGGCCCCTCGGGCTGGGGGCAGAAGCATGGAGGGCAGGCATACGGAAACCAGGCAGTGTCAAGGCCGGCATTCACTGCCTTCGCCTTCCTGTGGAGTGCCCCTCCTACTCACTAATAGCTACCATCCATGGACTGCTTCTTATGTGCTTGGTACCTTCTCATTTCACTCTCATTAGCTCCACTGTACAGATGAGCAATCTGAGGTGAGACAGGCTAAGAACCATGACCAAGCTTACCTAGTTAGTAGGCATGGAGTTGAGATTTCCACTTCAAATCCCATTCCAACCCTTGTTATCTAACTTTAACTTTTCTAATTCTAGACTCAAGTTCCCTTTTTAGCAATCTCTGACAAGAATGGGTTGCAATGTAAGAATATGAGAACGAAAATATTTTCAAGGTTAACAAAAAGATACGTATGAAATAAATTCACACACGTTAGCATTTCCTACAAAGGGAATTCACAAGTGGGAGGGGATGACAATAAATTCCATTCATGTGCGATAGTTTTTTTTTTGCCAAGTACAGATAATCTGTGTACATGAAACATCTATTGTATATACATCAATATGAGTAAAGCAATGTTTTTGTAAGTTTTGTGGGATTACAATATTCAACTCTGATCATGGCTCTTCAATCTTTAATTGCAGGGGCTCTTGTCCTAAACTAAGACAAGTGCAGGACATTTTCCTGATTAACTTTGGAAAAGAACTCACCCCTGAGTTTTCTGGTGCCTAACCCAATCTCGAAAAGATCCTCAAAGATGATTCTGTGGGCTGGGTATGGTGGCCCATGCCTGTAATGTCAGCACTTTGGGAGGCCGAGGTGGGGGAATCACCTGAGGTCAGGAGTTCGAGACTAGCTTGGCCAACATGGTGACAGTGCATCTCTACTAAAAATACAAAAAATTAGCTGGGCATGGTGGCACACGCCTGTAATCCCAGCAACTTGAGAGTCTGAGGCAGGAGAATTGCTGGAACCCGGGAGGCGGAGGTTGCAGTAAGCCAAGATCGTGCCATTGCACTCCAGCCTGGGCGACAGAGTGAAACTCCATCTCAAAAAAAAAAAAAAAAAAGATTCTGTTACCAACATGTGTAATGTGTTCCTCTGCCCCCCCAGCTTCTTTTCCAGAAACATTCTTTTTGCTGATTAACCTCACCCATCCTTTTCTGCTTCCTTAAGAGAACACAAACAGCTGGCATTTCTCTATAGATGAACATTCCCCTGAAAATTAAACCCAGAAGAAACAGTCGGAGCAGATCCTTCAGGCTCCACTCTTTTATTATTTAACGGCTGCTCCCTTGTTTCTCTGTTAAGCCAGGTACCACTGCCTGGTGAGAAGTGCCTCCATCAGTCAAAAATAGATGGAGATTTGTATAATCAAAGAAGGCTTTCAAACTGGGTTCCCTGGAGTCCTTGGGGATCCCAAGGAGATCCTTGAGAGGGTGTGGGGGATAGTGGCTCTGGGTACATGTGTGAGCTTAGCCGGCTTCAGGGGGAGGCAAGTCTACTTTCCTCTCAGGTACCTAGGTTGTGCTGGAATGAAAATGTTCGACAGCTACAAAGAAGTTTAAAAGCCGCTCTATACAGAATTGAAACCCCTTCCAGAAGTTTGGAACAGAACTGTTGCCTCAACTCTAAAACAAGGGTAATATCCTTAACCAACACCCCACATGACAGTGAGAAGTCATTACAAAATGATCTTGCAAAGCGAGGGGTGGCCAGGAAAGTAGCATGTCCACGGCGACAGTAACGCCACGATGGTGAGCATGATGGAAGTGTTGGGGATGGCAATTCCATCTGACCGCATCCTCCTGAACGCCTGAGGCTGAGCTTGGCCATAGTGACAGAGGGACTATGGCTGTCAAACTGGGTCAGGCTTGCACCAACATGGAAGGCATCAGGGTGAGAGCCTGGCAGATCAGGAGTGACTGCTACCAAATATTTGTTTTTGCTTTAAAAATCAACTCCCTCCCCTTCTTTTATGACTATGTCCTCTTAAAGCCTATTTGCTACTCGTTGAGATTCACACTGTATGCATAAAGAACATCAGATAATATCGTTATCTGCACTTCTCATGGAGTATTATTAATGTTTCCTTTTTATACAAATTATGGATACTTGATTCTTATCTCATTTTTTTAAACTCCAAATTCCTGAAAAGCGGGGTCTAGCTTCATTAATCTCTGTACCCCTGCCTGAGAGTACCTAACATGGAATCTTGCTTATGGAACGAGCACTCAATAAATATTTTTGAATAAGTGGTTCTCTGTCCCATTATTTGGGAATTGAGCTGCTGCCCATCAAAACGGACATGCATGGATTTTAAATTACTTTTAATCCAAATGAGTGTTAATTCTGTTTTCTATTTTTTCCTTTCTGTCCGGGACAACCACATAGAACCCCAAACAGGTGGCCCAGAAGAGTAGCTTTCCTGGTGTGGAGAGACATGTAAGGACAAACAACCTCTGCTATGCCAATTTCCCCTTTCATCCTGATGATAGGAGAGCGTGGAAAACAAATACGTGGCAAGTGGACTAGCATGGTGCAGTGAGCGCCTAAGAGGTGCTAACGGCCTATCCACCCGGGTTTCCCATCTGCTCCAGGAATCGTCAACTAACATAAAAACCCAGGCAACCAGGAAGTCACCTGGTGACTGATGTGTCACAGTTCCAGGTATTTGTTTCCAGCTTATTCTTGCTCTGTAAAAACACACACTGTCTGATATAAGGTCTGCTAGTCTGCTATGAAGTCCACTGCTGCTGACAATGGTGATGACAGTGATGATGATAATGATGACAGCAGTAAAATCTGTTGAACACTATGTGGCAGGCACTGGGCTGGGCCTTTTATGTACATTATCTCATTAAAACTTTACTACTGCCTTATGAAGTAGTACTATTATGACTTCCATTTAACACATAATCAGACCACACGCCACAGACCAGGCAAGCTAAAGTCGCTTGACCAAGCATTCAGGGCTTCCAGCGTCAAGGTGGTACTTACCTAGGAAGTACAGAGTTAGGTGGCCTGGATTTTGCAGGGGATGCAACTTTCGGTTCTGGCCCAGAGCTCCCTGAAGACCCTGGCAGAGAATCCTGCGCCGGCCCGGATTGGTTGGGAAGTATTTCCCTCGTGGAAGTCAGGAGATGCTCTTTATCTTTAACTTCTTTTTCCCGGGACTTGGCTTTGTGTTCTGCCAGGAGGAGGTCGAATTGCTTTTTCCGGCCTGGGACTGCCCTCCGATGGCTTAGCGAATGTGTCTAAGGAGAAGAGAAATGAAAAGCACAGCCTCTTTGATCAGCACATAAACCTGCTTCCCCAGACCCTCCATTTCAGAAATAGCAATTCATGGAAATTTAGAGGTGCTTGAAAAGTCAACTTCAAGGCAACAGCTCCTGTTCTGCGGCTAGGAAGAGGCAGAGACCACACGAACGCAACCATGCCCTACACTCCTGGTGTTATGAAGCCAAAGCTTCCTCCAAAAAATGGCATAGGATGACGAGCTTCAGCGCAGAACCCATGAAAACCTCTCTGATGAAAGGCAACTGCGAGGGAATGCTAGAGTTAATCCAGGTGCAGGTGGGAGGCTCGATTCGGCCCAGACAAACAGAGCCACCAAGCAGAGAGGGCCATCGCCTTGATCCCAAGAAGCACTAGCAGTTCAGCATGAAATACAGGGCTTTGGGCGACCCAATGGCGGCCGCCTTGGGTCAGCTGTTCCCCTGGCCACCCCGGTGTGGCTGGATCAGGGGCGCGGCATATCATCCTCCCCTCCAGGGCTGCCTTTCAGGGCGCTGCCGCCGCCGCCGCCGCCGCCGCCGCTGCTCCTGCATACATTAAAACGTAGCAGGCTTTAGAACCGCCTGTGAGTGCCTATAAATACAATTTACTGTCTGGCCTCACAAGTAACAGGGGAAGCCTAGTTTTTTTTTTTTTTTTTTTCTTTCCTTCTTAAAAAGCCAGCCAGCTTGAGGCAGGCACTCTGCTACCATGGACGAGAAGAAAGCATTTCCCTTACAAAGAACAGCTGGGGGTCATGTCGAGGTTCCACACCCTGCCGTGTGCAGAGAGTGGCATGCAAACATTTCGACAAAGGCCCCAGCCAGAGCAGGAAGTATTTTTTATGGAAAGAGAAATACCTTGCAGGTGAGGGATCTTGTGCAAGGTTTCTTTGTCTCGGGATCCAATACTCCACAGTGTTTATTTGGGTCAAATTCTCTCTCTGGTTTAAGAAACAAACAAAAAATATAAGAAAAAAGGAGACTAAATAGAATTTGGCATTAAGACTACATTTTAAAAAAAATGCACATTTGCACCAACAAGTGAGACATTGTCAGGCAATCTGGTTTTTGTTTTGTTTTTTGTTTTGTTTTTTGTTTTCTCAACCAGCTGCTAAAGTGCTTCCAGAACGCTGGGGGAAAATGGTGCTCCCCTCTGAACCCAGAGTTCCCAAGTCTAGCTTCCGCAGCATCGGCGAATGCAGCACAAGGGTTGGGGAATAGGGTGGGAGTGGGGACCAAAGGGAAGGAGAGGAGCCGTGCTGCTCTTAATGCTCTTAATGCTTTATTTTACTTGCAATGGTTCCACAGGTCCTTGGCATTTGGGCATAGCTGGCTGCAGACCAGGGAGAGCCACCTGAGACCCAGTGGCCCCTTTCCTGGGCTGCTCCAAGAGTACAGACACCCTGACTCCAGTTCCTGCCTTCCTGCTAGTTTTAGCCATGTAAGTGGAAGATTATTCCTTCACATGTCGGAGTGACCTGCCTCTCTCACGCTTGACAAAGCCCTCAGCGCAGGCTTTGCACACAGCCTCGCTGACCACAAACACCATTTACCTGATTGAGGGGCACTCTGGCAGTATTACAGGCAGGGGCAGGGGAGAAGGCTGAACTTGAAGGTGTAGAGAGGGCAGGGCCTGCTAATCTCACAGCTGCTCCCTGCCCCCACTGCCCTGGGCCTGATGCTTCACGTGGGAATAAAACAGGGCAGGCTGCCCTCATGGGATGAAGGATGTCTGTGCGGAGAGGCCAGGCTTCCCCAGCTCCTGCCTTCCAGTTGACTGTGGACAGTTTGAGTGGAGGTTACTTCTAAGGAGCCTGTTCTTTCTATGTCCATCTTGGGTCCTTCACCCCCACCAGGATGACAATCATGCTGTCCTCACCTTTAAAATGAGGGGAATGTGAGGTGATCTCTTTTGTTCATTTTTATTTTTTGAGACAGGGTCTCGCTCTGTTACCCAGGCTGAAGTGCAGTGGTGTGATCACAAGGCTCACTGCAGCCTCGACCTCCTGGGCTCAACCTCCTGAGCAGCTGGAACTAGAGGCATGCACCACCACACCTGCCTAATTTTGTGTTTTTTTTTTGTAGACACGGGGTCTCACTACATTGCCCAGGCTAGGTGATCTCTTAAGGATCCTTTGGGCTTTAAAATTCCACCTCTTGGATGGCCTGTGCTGTTTCTGGAAGGCACCAAGCAAACACGTAAGTCCTGCAGAGCAGGAATGACACAGCCCTCTGGGCATGTGGGGAGACTGGCAGCAGTGCTGCTGGTGGTACGGGGTATACAGAAATTGGTGGTATGTTCTTAAGACCCTTGAATGGCTGCAAACTCAAAAAAGGTTACCTAGCCAGAAAACTGTCTGAAATTGTTGGAGTGAACTCCGAGCATATAATAATGCTCAGATTATAACATAATAAATAAATGTATTCAATTTTCAAAGCTTTGAGGGTCATGGGGAGGTTGCAATGGTGTTACCAATGATGTGCACAAGAAAACTATTCTATACCCAAGACAGATTCCCTGGCTGGTTACCAAAACGCCTCTCTGCGTTTTTGCTTTTTGTCTGCCTTTTCTCTCTCTTTTTTTTTAGCTTCACTTAGAAAAAAAACCTGCTAGGCCTAGAGATGCTGGTTTGCTCGGGGCCCTTTCTGGCCAGGCTGCCTGGTGTGGTGTTTTTTCTTGGGTCTGTCAGAGTCAGGCATGTGCCTGGTCCCACACCAGCGCCTCATGTCGACCTGGAGCTGAGCAGGCTGTTGGCTGGGGGTAGGAGCTGGCTGCCAAATGTGAAAGTGAGGCAGAAACAAGCAAAAGACCCAATGAGACAAGACAACCCACAAAATGCAAAAACAACGCGCGGCAGAAAAATCCCCAAACAACTTCAGATGGGGTTACAGGCTGGAAGCCAAGGCTGTGCTTCTGCTATGGCGAGGACCCCTCAGCCTCCAGCCACTGTGCCCACGCCTACTGGTTTTCTGGGGATGTTGTTACCACCTCTAAAGAGTGAAACTGAGCTTTCCATTCAGGAAGAGCCAGGCGCTGGGGGCTCCAGCCCGAACCGTGAGGCCCACAGTGCTTAGGGAGAGCAACAGGCTCTACCTTTCTCTCTTGACAGTGGGTGAGCAGTGCAGGCAAAGATGTGCAAAGTACAATACCTGCTTTATTTGAATGCTTTGGGCCTGAGGGACTTTACAGACATAATTTTTAAAAGAGTTACAGATGAAAGATAGAAAAACTAGAACTACAGACAAATACAGAGTAGACAATAAAAATTACCCACAATTCCCTGGGTGCTTACAAATCAAGCTTAACCCGAGGACAGTTTCTCTGTCACAGGGTGGCTGTCACTGCATTTTACTTTCTCTGGCCACCATCAGGGAGTGCCCATGATGTGTGAAGAAGTTATGAAATATATAGCTTCTCCTGGTCTTTTGGAGAGAGTAAAAACTGCCAGATTTAGTTCTACAGCAGATAGATCCAAAGCAAACATTACCCATATAAGTGCCTCTAAAAGATAACCATCAGATAACCATCATCCCATGTGCCTCTTCCAGCACCCCAGTGTCTGCTCAGACAACCAAGGAGTAGACCCACAAGAGACCGTCCCAATACCCTATCGGCTGTGCCAGCCCTAGTGTTCCTGTTTGGGAATTCCAACCTGATTATGGGGGATAGACAGTTGTAAACCCAACTGCAGAATCAACCTGGAAACGCCTGAGGCCAAAGGACAGAGGCTGTGTGTGCCTGTGCAGCACAGCTGCTGGCGGGGCTGTCCCTCACATGCCTTGAGGCACCACGAGATCCCTGTGTGTTGTCCAGCTTCCCAGCAGTGAAGCTTCTATGGAAGCCAGGGCTAGTTCAATCTGTTTGCATGATATGGATACACAGAATCACCTGCTCACAAGACCCTCGGAATGTACAGAGTAGGTCGGTGCAGAGCACCCTGCCTCCCAGGTTGCTAGGGTAACTCCCACTAAGCACTGAACTGAGTGAGGGACTTCATCTGCCCAGGGAAGAAAAGACCTGGTTTTCCCTTGCATTTTTAGGTGGGGTTCCTACTTGCAGGTAAACTCTGCATCCCCCTTAAAATGAAACAGACCTGCTTAATGATAAGAGCACATCAGTCCTTGGTTATGGCTGCCACTCCCTTTCAGTCTAATCTTGAGTCAGACCCTGATGACACTGACACATACCTGAAAGTCTCCTGTAAGGCTTGTTGCTGTTTTTGGTGCCATTTTGGTGTTTCTTGTCTATGGTGGATGGCAGAATTCCTTTGCCATTTAAGATCTTCTCTGGTGAAGGTGGCACTGACTTGGACATCAGGACAGGCTTAATTAAAGAAGGGGTGGAGACGGCAGAGGATGAGGTGGAGGAGGCAGAAATTGCAGTAGTGGTTGTAGAGTTCATTTTGACATTGGCACCATCTGCCTTCACTAGGTTAGGAATTTTCTCTAAACTGACTACAGGAACCGGAACGCTGAAAAATAAATGAACAAACACGCACAATTGCCTTCTTTGATACACCTAGTCTGCTGAGGAACCATACCCGCTTATCATTATCAGAACATTTCCTTATCACTTATTTATACTCCTCCTATAAGCAAGCAGCATGAATCCAGTTTTGATGGGAGAGAGTTCTGTGCCCTGGAAAGGATCAACAGGGGATGCGAGGCTGGCACAGTGCCAAGGGTGGCATCAGGGCTGACTGATGACCGCCCGTGCTGAGCTGTCCCCATAGATCCTGCAACTCCCCCCTTCCCGGGTCCTATAGGTTGGCCGTCTCCAACACAGCACCTTGGGCAGAACAAGGCGCCTGCTGTGAAGCTCAGGAAGAGATACCGTTTGTCCCCTGAAGACAGTGTGCCACTGCTGAATCACGCCCCCTCCCCCCACTGCTCAGCTAGTCCCCCAGCCCGGCCCGGATCGGGCCTGACATCTGCTTAGCTCCGGAGTGCTGACAGGATCACACCACAAGGAGGCATGGCTTCAGGCCAGCGTGCTGCATGGCGTGCTGTCGGACGGCTTCTGGATCACTCTCACATCCTGGGGATGGGCTCAAATTGAGTGAGCCGCCATGTAGCATTATCCAATATTCCATTTTAGGCAGCTAGTTATGTAAATAGGCAATTCTCAAGGCTGGCAGGTGAGAGGATGAATTTTAAGAAGGCAGAGCACAAAGGTGTGCTTCACTCTTCAGAATCTGTCACCTTAGCCCCCTTCCCTGCTATTTCTCCTGTATAGGATGTGCATTTGATTTCTCTGCTTCTTTAACGCTGAAGGACCTGTGTCTGGGGGGCTGTGGAGAACTCCATCTCCGGGTCTTAAAAGAGGAGATGAATAAGCTTTGCTTTGGTCCCTGAGCTGGATTCCTTTTCCTCCTGGCAGGAGGGGAGAATGCTAACATGGGCTCCCCAGTCATCTCTGAGCTGAGAGTGAAGCCTACTTAGCTATTTGAATGCCAAATGATCTAGAATATGGCTTTTACATTCCTGCAGACAATGTAGGGCGGGAAAGAGGGGCTGTTTTTGGCAGGCAAAGACTCTTATCTGTCCACATGGCTGGCTGGCTGGCTCTCCTTTCTCTAAGATTCATTCACAGATTATTTCTTTGATCAACTTGTTCATGAAATTATTTTAGCCCCCTTCCAGCCCCTGCCCCTTTTGTGACTTTGAAATAGGATCCCAGCTGTTGGTTACAGATCTTTGCCAGTGAGAAGGGCACAGAGTAGTGGAACAGATTGTGGCTGGACATTACGGACTTCTCCCTCGGACCATGTACCTTCTTGGCCTGGGGAAGGGTGACGTGGGGCTTCGAGTCTCATGTGAGGGGAAACTAAAATGACAGTTTTTTTTGTAACAAACCCTGCCACTGCTAGTTCTGTCCCTGATCAGAGTGTCTCAATCTCTGAGATAGAGCTGAACTGCTGCTCCTTTCTATTTAATGGCAATTCTCAAAGCACTCTCGTATCACTGAAGAACGGCACAAGAAGCCCTTTGAGGGTGAGCACACGAAGACGCTAGACAGATATTACCTGGTGAAATTAGGGCTGCATTCCTGATTTTTTTCCAAATGATAAAAAGATGCAAAACAAGGTGATACAGAATTCTTCTAGGCTTATTCCTTGACACATTTAAAAAGCCACAAGTTACAGAAATCAGGGTCCTGAAGAGAGATTTGTATACCCATGTTCATAGCAGCATTATTCACAATAGCCAAAGGTGGAAGCAGCCCAAGTGTCCATCAATGGATGAATGGGTAAAGCAAAATGTGGCATCATTCAGCTTTAAAAAGGAAGGAAATTCTGACACGGGCAGGAGCCTTGAAGACATTATGTTAAGTGAAATAAGTCAGTCACAAAAGATAAATACTGTATAATTCCACTTATATGAGGTACCTGGAGTAGTCAAATTCATAGAGACAGAAAGCAGAACAGTGGTTGCCAGGGAATGGGGGAAGGGAGAATGGGCAGTTTTTTTTATGCCCGTTGAACAAGTGTATAGAGTTTCAGTTTTGCAAGATGGAAAAAAAGTTCTGGAGATTGGTTGCACAACAGTGTGAATGTGCGTAATACTATTAAAATGTACATTTAAAATGGTTAAGATGGTAAATTTTATGTTATGTGTATTTTACCACAATTAAAAATGTTTTACATGTACAAACTAAAAAAAAGAAAAAAAATGCAAATGACGAAACTCTTACAACTTAAATTATACCTCAATAAACCTGACTTTAAAAATACAGATCAGAGGCTGGGCGTGGTGGCTCACACCTGTAATCCCAGCACTTTGGGAGGCTGAGGCGGGCGGATCACCTGAGGTCAGGAGTACAAGAGCAGCCTGACCAACATGGTGAAACCCCATCTCTACTAAAAATACAGAAACTGGCCAGACGTGGTGACTGACACCTGTAATCCCAGCACTTTGGGAGGCTGAGGCGGGCGGATCACCTGAGGTCAGGAGTACAAGAGCAGCCTGACCAACATGGTGAAACCCCATCTCTACTAAAAATACAGAAACTGGCCAGACGTGGTGACTGACACCTGTAATCCCAGCACTTTGGGAGGCCGAGGTGGGTGGATCACGAGGTTGGGAGATCAAGACCATCCTGGCTAACATGGTGAAACCCTGTCTCTACTAAAAATACAAGAAAACCAAAACAACAACAACAACAACAAAAACAAAAAAAATTAGCCGGGCGTGGTGGCGGGCACCTGTAGTCCCAGCTACTCGGGAGGCTGAGGCAGGAGAATGGCGTGAACCCAGGAGGCAGAGCTTACAATGAGCCGAGATTGCGCCACTGCACTCCAGCATGGGCGACAGAGCGAGACTTTGCCTCAAACAAACAAATGGAAAAAAACCCACAAAAAAAAGAAATTAGCCAGGGGTGGTGGTGCATGCCTGTAATCCTAGCTACTCAGGAGGCTAAGGTGGGAGAATCACTTGAACCCAGGAAGCAGAGGTTGCAGTGCACTGAGATCATGCCACTGTACTTCCACCTGGGTGACAGAGCGAGACTCTGTCTCAAAAAAAAAAAAGTATCAGTGGCCAGTTGTGGTGGCTCATGCCTGTAATCCTAGCACTTTCGGAGGCTGAGGTGGGAGGACTGCTTGAGCCTAGGAGTTTGAGACCAGCCTGGGAAACACAGCGAGACCAGTCTCTACAAAATAAAAATAAAATTAGCCAGGCATGGTGGCATGTGCCTGTAGCCCTAGTTACTGGGGATGCTGCAGGTGGATCGCTTGAGCTCAAGAGTTTGAGGTTACAGTGAGCTATCATCATGCTATTGCACTCCAGCCTCAGCAACAGAGCAAGACCCTGTCTCAACTGCCCCCTGACCCCACTGGCACCCCCCAAACCCAAACATATTGGCCAGGTGTAGTGGTTCATGCCTGTAGTCCCAGGAGTTTTGGGGGCCAGGGTGAGAGGATTGCTTGAGGCCAGGTTTTTTTTTTTTTTTTGAGACAGAGTCTCTGTCACCCAGGTCGAAGTGCAGTGGCACAATCTCAGCTCACTGCAACCTCAGCCTCTTAGGATCAAGCAATTCTCCTGCCTCAGCCTCCCAAGTAACTGGGATTATAGGCACCTGCCACCACACCTGGCTAATTTTTGTACTTTTAGTAGAGATGGGGTTTCACCATGTTGGCCAGGCTGGTCTCGAACTCCTGACCTCAGGTGATCTGCCTGCCTCAGCCTCCAAAAGTGCTGGAATTACAGGCATGAGCCACTGCTCCCGGCCTAGGCCAGATATTTGAGACTAGCCTGGACAACACAGTGAGACCATGTCTTTACAAAAAAAAAAAAAAAATATATATATATATATATATGCTGGGCACGTTGGTGGACACACATAGTTCCAGCTACATGAGAGGCTGAGGCAGGAGAGTCACCTGAGCCCAGGAGTTTGAGGCTGCAGAGAGCTAGGATTGCACCACTGTACTCCAGCGTGGGTGACACAGTGAGACCCTGTCTTGGAAAAAAAAAAATTAGAAGAATCTGTTCTGTTCAAAAAGATTTATTGATTTAATTTCTCACCCTTGTTCTGATCTGTTGACTTTTATTTCTTTAGGGAAAAAAATCAAACTTCAAGTGTTGATATGAACACACGGACAGCTAGTAAGAAGAGAAGGTGCTCTAGTACCTGGGCAGCCCTCTGTGATGTATTAATATTTCTTTGTGAAGCCAAGTTAGTTCAGGAAAGGAAATTAGAACTTGCAAGTTGCAGATCTAGTTCTTGTTGCATGAGCTGGTACGAGTTAATATAATGCCTCTAGTTTCTGTGAAAAAAGCCCTATGTAGATGTTAGGCCCTCAGGCCTTCAGCAGACAAAGATATGATGCCTGGGATAGAATAATCCAGAGCAACTGTACAAATGGAAATACATTTTAAAAACCAGCTGGGCATGGTGACTCACGCCAGTAATCCCAGCATTTTGGGAGGCTGAGGCGGGTGGATCACCTGAGGTCAGGAGTTCAAGACTAGCCTGACCAGCATGGTGATACTCCATTTCTACTAAGAATACAAAATTAGCCGGGTGTGGTGGCGCATGCCTGTAATCCCAGCTATTTGGGAGGCTGAGGCAGGAGAATCGCTTATACCTGGGAGGCGGAGGTTGCAGTGAGCTGAGATCGTGCCATTGCACTCCAGCTTGGCGACAGAGCAGGACTCCGCCTCAAAAAACAAAAACAAAAACAAAAAAAACAAGTCAAGCAGCCCTCAAATGCTCACAGCACAGTCTGCGTTTCTCCTCTAAAGTCAATGTCTGGCATTGAATGTGCTCCTTAAGGCAGCCACACGAGCACAGGTGCACCAGGTACCAACATTTGGAACTGTGCCAGTTGACTCATCTCTTTGGTGACACTCCTTCCCAACTGTGTATAACTGAGCTTGGGCCAGGCCAGCTAATGTCTGTGACTGTCTCCTAATTTGGAATTTTTTCCACTATATAATGAGTATGGCCCATTCATACTCTACTGTCAAT